CCATCGACATAGTTTGTAAAATTTCTGTGGGTTTCTTTTTCTTTCTATTTATTTCTTAACGATTGTTTAAATTTCATGTTTCGGAAATCTGCCCATACTTCGTTATCACTTACTAGCTAAACTGAGTCACAACTAATGCGAAAAATTATTGAATGTTTGCAAATATTCAAATTTTCTATAAGAAATTCTAGAAATTAATTCGATTTAGTAGTTTATCCCTAACGAATATTTTGATTGTAGGTCATTCTGCATTTGGAATCGATACAGATATGCAGAACGATATTGCTAATCCATTTATTATCAAATCGGCTCGTTTCTTTGAAGTTCATCCTGAGAGAATATTTCTCGCCAAATTAAGTTATGTAATGCCATGGCTCACTCCAATTCTTACTTTAATCGTTCATAGTATAATAACTCTATGCAATGTATTACGATATCTGGCACCTTCTCTCATGAGTCAATTCGAAGAAATTCCTGGAATGTGGATAATCAATCAAGTAAAAAATATCATTGAAGCGAGAACAATCAAGATCAAATTAGAAGAAAATAATAAACAGCATCGAATCGATCTCTTACAACTTATGCTTGATGCAGTCACATTCAATGAAGTTAAAGTCAGAAATAATAATCACTGCAATGATTTGATGATAAAAGTCTCATTATAGGATAAAAGTGATGAAAATCTTATGTCGAAACGACTTCATCAAGATGAAGTGGCCAGTAATGTATTTTTCTTTATGATTGCGGGTTTTGAAACAACTTCGACTACACTTGCTTCTTGCACATATATTTTGGCGACAAGATTCGACATACAAACGAAACTTCAAACAGAAATCGACAAGCTCTATGCAGAACACAATGGAGAACTCGATTATAATCGTATCAATAATATGACTTACATGGATTTGTTCATTCGAGAAGTTTTACGTATGTTTCCGATTGCTCTTCAAGCTGTATCGAGAGAATGCAACATGGAAACAACTGTCTGCAATTATAAAATTGAAAAAGGTTCGCATTGAACTCGATAGTTCAAACAATGAAATCATGTTTCTCTTGCTTTTGCATAGGAGATGTCATTCAACCGGATGTTCTCACATTACATTATGATCCTCAATTATGGGGTCCTGATGATCCTTACTTATTCGTACCTGAGCGACACTTGACTCGGCGACATCCAATGGCATTTATGGCTTTTGGTCAAGGTCCAAGAAATTGTGTTGGAATGCGATTTGCTCTAATGGAACTCAAACTGTGTCTAGCCCGTCTTCTTCGTCAATATTCAATTCTTCCTGGAAAACGAATCGAACAAGGTTTTGTTCTTCGAGAGATATTAGTAATTCAACCCGATGCTGTCTATATCAAGCTTGAAAAACGAAGCTAAATACTATGCTATTGATATGTTC